AACTGTCTAATTATAAAATTGCTTTAATATGTTGGACATCTCAAATGCTCTCGTTGTCTGCAATAGGACAAAGACTGCTTTGATTCTGAATCTATTCACCTGGGTGGAATTGGGGCTGTTGTAGGGAAAATCTAACACACACACACACACACACACACACAATCAGTTTTATGTCTGTCAGACAGTGTCAGTCCATTTCCTGTTGTCTGTCCTCCCTCTGATTTTTTCGAAGTATTTTTCCGTGTGCCAAACTGAGCACCCCTAAGTAGTGCGAAACAGTCAGTGGTTCCATGTCTGGAGTGCCTACTGCACTCTTAGGGGGGGCGCTCGGTTCGGGGTGTCTGTGTTGCCTGTGGGTGATGACAGATGCCCGTCGGAGTGTCTCCCTGGCTCAGTGGGTGGTGGGAACCAACTGTTATGAACCTGGTTGTTTGTTGTCAGAAGACCAACACTCACTCACATAGACTTCCAGGTATGCCCATACATACACAGAAGGAAGGGGAGAGGATGGGAGTATCACACCGCATAGGGAAAGAGAAACACAGTGGAAGACTTGACCATGCTATATGACAGGGTACACTGAAAGTGCAATTCGCTCCACAAAATCCTCACAACCAGTCACAAAGGAAAGCCGAGTAGATCAAATCCGAGAAACAATGAAGCACAGATAGATCAAACACAGTATCAACACTGTTTGTTAAACTCAGAGTCTCAATTTGTCAGAATAACCCCAGAACTGTGATGCGCTGCTCAGAAATGAGCAGCGCTCCTTTCCCCAACCCTGAGTAACTGCTATCACTACCCCTGAGCCCCTGAAACAACCAGCGCCACCCAGATACTGCCTCCAGAGGCACCCTGAAACAGGCCTCTGAGGCCAAGCGCCTCTCAGAGGATGAAGAAGAAGACCGGCGCCACAGTCTCTGATGCTGATGAAGTGCCGGAAGACTTCCCGGATGGAAGTCTGTAGCAGCGCCACCTCTCCTGACAAAGATGATCTCTGAGGAAGAAAGCTGCAGCTATGGCTGCAGCGCCACACACCCTGACACCCTACTCCTGA